GTCTTTCCCTCTTCCCCATATTCTGATTTTTCTATGCTTTTAGGAAAAGATGTTTACCAGAAATTGTCACACTTGAGCCTGTTGCTGAGGATGTTTGTCACCCTAGCCAGCGCTTCACTACTATTAAATGGTGGTTTTCCCTTCTGTAGGTTAGTCGTTGGCTTCACTTTAGCTCCTTGTGGGAAACAGGAAGGCTCTGACAAAAACTCAGGGATTAGCTAGCATCTGATGATGGAGATACTTTTTTCACGTTTTATTTTAATGATCTGATCTTGTATTTTGTCTCTTCATGTATGGTACAGAAATGACTTCTGACTCAAACTGCATCAGCTCTCCTACTAACATGAATTTCCTGAACCTACCAAGTATGTCTTAAGTGGCTGTGCCTTTTTTTGTCATTGTAGAGTATCTAGTCTGTAATGATATTTGGGATGTACCTCTTGTTGCGTAGGCCTTTGTATGCATGATTTTCCAAAGCATAAATGGGTAAGAATCCTTTTAGGAGGTTCCTCCTTTTTAGGAGGTTCATCAGAAAAGATCTTTCAGCACAGACAAATGAAATCTTCCCTGAAATACTTAATTAAAGAGAGGCTTTCAGGTATGCTAGGAATAAAGTGAGGGAGGAGAGAGTTTGATGAATCATAATTGGGATGCTGTTTCAAATGTCTCTTGTACTGTGAAAGTACAAGGCACACAGTGAAGGTAAAAATGAGGGTGGGAGGTAAGGGAAGGAAATATGTATGCATGTGGAATATGCAGAGCATGGAAGGTTAAACAATGTTTTTAATAAAAACCAAACCACCACACAAAAGAGGCATTTTTAAAATAGTACTTATAAAGTATTACCCTTGTCTAGAATAAACTTCGTAAGATTCTTTTTTTTTTTCACTTGGATTTTGCTTTAGCATCTATTAACTAAGAGTTTTGATAAAATGTACGTGTAATTATGTCTTGAGTATTAAGTATTCCTTACAGTAGGATCCTACATGATACTAAGGGAAATATAATATCTCCCAAAGCCTTGTGTTAAATAATACCCTGATTTTTGCCAGCACTACTGCTGTCGCAGATGCGGGGAACAGCCACAGTACTGTTGCAGAGCACAGCTTGGGACGCTCTGCAGTGGAGTAATTGAGAAGCAAATGCCTTGATGTGTGTCCTGGGCACCATCAAGCTGAGGGGAGAGATGGGAAAATCAGTGATGTGAAGGTGGTGGCTGCTTGGAGGAGGAGTCCTGTGAGAATGCTTCCTTTAAAAAAATTCTTTTTTCCTTTTAATTTGCTGATCTGAATCTTTCTGATTAATCACGAATAGTTCTGTCAGGAGCACAAAGTTGGCTGAGAAGAGGACTGCGGGATGTGTCAGAAGTCTTTGTATATTACTTTGATTGGATAGGGCTGTCTTTGATTTGTGTTTGGAGATGATAAAAATGCTTTTGAAGTCACAAATGGGAGTATAGTGTGTAAGAGAGGGAGGACTTGATCCCAAGTGATAATGGAAAGAAACCCTTAAAGCACAGAGACCTGTGACGTACATGTTTGGGATTTAAGGGCAAAAGTTGATGAATAGAATGAAGCAGAATTATATGTAGGTTACAGGGTGCTTTGAGTATGTATTTCAGAGTAGTTGACATCAAACAGTTGTATTCTAACCTCTGCATTCTCAACACTAACACAATTTGCATTACAGTGATTTGTGAGTAACTACTGGGTTCCTAAAACCGCATAGTACTTAAGACCTTTGATTCTTCAGAGATTGTAATATTAATAATTTGCTTAGTTAACGTGCTTTTGTGGGAGGCATGTGCTCTGTGTATGTGTCTTAAACTTACTGTAGGAATGAAGGCTGCTGAATAGAAAAGAAATTCAGCAAGAGGCACATTGTAAAATACATCAAACTGCCTTATTGCAACTCATATTTGGAAGGATTGGTCAACAGCGGTCTGTTGGCTGATTATATTGGTGATATTCCAAACCCAACTATGGGGAGCATGGGGAAAATTCAAAATGAAAGCAGACTGATGGAAGAGAAACAAAGATCAGGAAGATAATTAGAAAGGGAACTTCCTACTTGAAGCGTTCTTTTTATAATACAACTTCTAATTTTCTCTCCAAAGAAGTGTGTTCTATTTAAAATCAAGTTGTCATCTGCAGTGACAACCATGCTGTTAATATTCTTACGGGACTCTTACATAGCCTACTCATATTCCACTGTATGAAAAGCATCCTGGCCGGTCCCAGCCCCAGTGTGGCAGCAGGACCCGGGCAGGGACTGTCCCCCTGCGCTGGGCACTGGTGAGGCTGCACCTCGGATCCTGTGTCAGTTCTGGGCCCCTCACTGCAAGAGAGACATTGAGGTGCTGGAGCGGGGCCAGAGAAGGGAATGGAGCTGGAGCAGGGCCTGGAGCACAAGTGTGATGGGGAAGGGCTGAGGGACCTGGGGGTTTAGTGTGGAGAAGAGAAGGCTCAGGGGGGACCTTACCGCTCTCTACAACTGCCTGACAGGAGGATGGAGCCAGGAGGGGGCTGGTCTCTGCTCCCAAGGGACAAGGGATGGCACAAGAGGAAACGGCCTCAGGCTGCACCAGGGGACATTTAGGTTGGATATTAGGAACAATTTCTTAACCAAAAGGGTTGTGAAGCACTGGAACAGGCTGCCCAGGGCAGTGGTGGAATTGCTGTCCCTGGAGGTATTTAAAAGATGTGTAGATGTGGCACTTAGGGATATGGTTTAGCGGTTGGACTCAATAATTTTAAAGGTCTTTTCCAACCTAAACAATACTGTGATTCTATAATTCAGAAAGGCTTGCACAGATCCAGGCTCTGGGCCGAATGAAAGACGTTGTGTCTGTAAAATAGCTGTTGGTCTCCAGTTTCCTTCTCCAATATATGCAACGAGAAAAAGATTGCTCAACATACTGCCTCTAATGAGCTTTAGTGAACAGTGTGCATGACCATCATTAATAATCCCCTTAAATACAGAAAGTAAAGAATTTCAAATTAAAAACTTAATATTTTGGAAAATGCAGATATGGTGTGACCTTTTTGGATTCCTGATCTGCACTGTTTTAGTGGTTAGCAACCAAGTGACTACATCATTTAAAAACGTGACATATAATTGTGTGTAAACACATGATTATAAGAGAAACGAAGCAACCCTTTGCCATGGTCAGTAGTGAGACAAGTCAGTGTTTTGCACTGTTAACAAATAAATAACAAGATCTAAATGCCTATGTGTTGGTTGTCCATTTCTCCAGGTCACCTGAATGTGTAAGTACAACCAGTGTTTTTACTTTCAGATGTGGAATCGTTTCTCTGTGGCAGCGTTGGGTTGTAGTGGAAGAGTCTGCCCTACCAAACTGAGGGATGATGCTGTGCTGTAACACTTCAAAATGAGAGAGGCCTAAACTATGGGCCCAGATTTTGCCATAGATTTTGCAGAATTTAATATTATATTCCTTTAAAAGCCTGTGTAGAGGTGATTGCATAGGTGAACTTTTTTCTAGGTAACTGTATGAGGCTGTAGATTCTGAAAGTGCTATTTTTAAAATATTTCAGAATTTCACTACATTAATACATGATTTTGCTTTACAGATAGCCCTTTTTCACAAATACAATTACGATACTTTCCATGACAGTTTATATGAGTGTGTATGTCTTAGAAGGAGTAGTATAAAATCTTAGAAGGAGTAGTATAAAATCTTAGAAGGAGTAGTATAAAATCAGCAGCAACTTGAAGTAGTTTCCAGCATTGCCTTTCCCTTTTGCCTTCTGTAAGTCATTCAGCATCCAACTCTCCATATCTCCTCCCAGGAATTCAGTTACTACTTCTCCATCCTCTCTCTCTTAAAGAGGTTTTGCTGGGCGAGCTTCTTAGGGGGAGAAAGAGGGAATTCTAAAAGCAGAAATTATACAAATTGAAGAGCAAAAACTTTTCTTACTCATCCAAAGGAGAAGAGGCAAGAAGGGGTATGGTCAGAAGTGTTTTAATGTAACTTCTTGAGAGTTAATAAAGAGTTTAATGATGTTGATTGTTGAGGTTGATGGGGTTTAGATTTTTTGAATACATCTGTATTATTGTCTTTGAATGTGAAGTTTCAATGAAATACACTTAATATATCAAAAATTAAGTTGTATGGAGTTATAGTTTCTTGTGCAATAGTCCTTGTTACACAAATTTTTGTTTTGACCCAGAATAAACCTGAATTTATAGTGGATCTTCTCCACTAGTTGAGTTCCTGTTGACTTATTTTTACCAGTTCTTTAAGGCAGGGATTTTTTGCTCTATCACTGTGGGTTGGTTGGATGAGTACTCTAATAGAAGAGAGTGGATTGATTCTCCTTCTGCAGTGAACTCAGAAATGGTGGCAAACTTCATCCACCCTGATCATGGAGAGCGCTGAAAGATACACACCTCTTAACCTAGCTGATGACTTTTACTAACCTATTAAGGCTAGAGACACCACATCTGGCAAGAGAAAGGCTTCAATGTGAAGTCAAGAGTTAACCTATTGATCTGCTCCGTGACCTTCAGCGTTTGTGCTCTTGCCAATCAGTCAGAGATCGCACATGCTGCTTCTTGCCCAATTGGTAATGAGGGAAAATAGGAAGGAATTGGCAGTGTTATTCAGGTGGCTGGGGTAGAACTGGAGACTTTATGAAGTGAGAAGGGTAAGATCAATAAGAATATAGACGTGTGGTGGCACAGGGCATAGAAATTGGGGAAATGCCAAGTCGAATCATCTTTCTACACACAGTGTGTTTCCACTTGACTGATGATAAAGTTGGTGAGATCTGCGAGGTGATAGTACTGCAGAGATCTGTCTTTTTTCTTCTTTTTCTTTATTATTATTTTTCTAATCATGCTTTAGAATACAACAGATTTTGTCATATTTGAGGCTGGAAGCTAATTTACCTTTCTCAAGGAATACGAGACTACAAACAGCTTTTGGTGTTCTTACTCAGACCTAGGTGCTGAAGAATTTTATTCTTGTTTTTCAGATATTGAAAAATATCACCTGGTATGCTGAGCGTGTCTTAACAGAGATCTCACTTGGGAGTCTCCTGATATTAGTTGTGATAAGAACCATCCAGTACAACATGACACGGACAAGGGTAAGAGTTATGTGTAAGTTAATAAGAGTTATGTGCGCTTTACGCACATCATGTGCATTTCTAACTTAACAGCATCAATTCAGTTTCAAACAGGGTGTGGGATTTTCTTCATTCTGTTGCAACCAGTTGACATTTGAATTCACAGGAGGGAAGGAAATGGACAGATCAGCCATATTAACTAAGCATGGTGTTAAGTGATTCTGAACTTACAACACTGTTTCAGTATCGTCATCTAGTTCATTGAGTAGGATTCTCTAAAGACTGTAATTCAGGCACTACACTCATCTTCAGATAAGAAGAAAAGTTTCTTAGTTTTATGAGAAGAAATGATTCTTTATAGGTTGTTTGCCTCTCAAGTTACTCAGAAGTGGGAAATTCAGCTCTATTTGTTCTTAGTGTTTTATGAAGTAGGACAGTGACTGGGCCATAAAAGCTTTTTGAGCTCTAGCAAACAAAAGTGCTTCAACTTTATAGCCTCTTATCAGATTGCTTTCATGCACTTTTCAAGTATTTGATTCTATACCTTATCTCAAACATATAGGCATGGTATCCTACGCTTTTGAGTATATTTAGCAATTGAGGGCACAGAATTTTTTACATTGAAAAGTAGCAAAAAATGTTTAAATATATTTTAAATTGTAAAACTTCAGGATTAAAACTTATGGTCAAAAGAACTGGAAGAAATGAGGCCATTCTTGACATATATTTGTAGGATTTGGAATCTGTCATGTTGTGTAATGTATATTTTAGATCTGAGTAGGGAAATAAACCCCTGTTGGATTGTGTAAGTGAAAAGTTTGGTTCTGTGCAAACCCTTGACTTCGCTATGGCCAACATTTAAATACTTATCTGGACAAATGGTTTCAGGGGTGTTAACAAGGAGACCACTCTGAAGTGTTGTATGGTTATAGTTGTGGGATAGATAGAATGCTTTGAAAGAGTTAACAGGGAGATGAGCTGTGAAACAGAAAATTTTTGGTTAAGACTACAAAAGGGAGAGAGAGAACGGGAGAGGATGAGAATGTTTCTCATTGTTTGTTGTATCTATGATGTCATTGTAAATAACATTGCTAACGATATGTGAATGTGTATCCATATGGACATATACATTCCAAAATCTGTATGAAACAATCTTTTGTAAGCCTTACAATTTAAGACAACCATTTAAAACATCACCAAGTATATACATATTGCATTTCTGCTGGATGCTTTTGACCGTGTCGTTTAAAGCAACATGTATTACTCAGTCTTCCAAATGATTCCTGCAATAGGTGTCAGTGTGTATCAAAAGAACAGCTTGATGTAGGTTTTTTCTTTCCTCTTCTTTCTGACAGGACAAATACCTTCATACAAATTGTTTGGCAGCCTTAGCAAATATGTCAGCACAGTTCCGCTCGCTTCATCAGTATGCGGCTCAGAGGATCATCAGGTAAATATAAAGACTCTCAAAACTCATCTTTGAAACTCAAGAGTAAAGGACTTGAATTCTGTATTCCTTAATAGATACCAATGAAGTAAATAGCTGAAATGCTAACTGAATAACTAAACAATCCCAGAATAAACCTATTTGCTTTATAATTGAATCTGTTCTGAATGCACAAAAGATACTAGTTTCTGTGTCTGAGAAACTTCTGAGTCTATTAACAGAATAGCTCAGTAGCTGATTTCAGACCAGAAGGTTTTCAGGGATTTGTGTGAATTATGGTTGGGTTTTTTTTTTTTAAGTCATGTATCACGTTATTATAAAAAGGCACTTGCGTGATGGTTCCCAAATACTATACAGACTGCATTTTCAGTTTGCTTCACTTCTTCCTGCATATTTGGCAATAGATCTATTTGTTAAATGAGACATAACACAATGATCATTTTGTGATGATATGGGCAATAAAACACGTGCTTTTCAACTGATGAAGTTTATTAGCCTTTGTAGCCATAAGTAGTCAATATCTGCTCTGGTTCTAAAACAGGGCCATAAGTTTAAAGAAGTAGATATTGAAGTTGCAGTCCACTTTGTAAAGGCAGGTAATCGTGTGTCCAGCATCCTTTTCGTCTTGGCAGCCAGCCCCACTCCACGCTCCAGGGGAAACTGGGAAGGTCCTTGTTAATACGATCTGGAATAAACTGTTAACAGTGCTTGTCAAATACAGACAGCGTGCCAAAAATAAGTAAATGATAATTGCATGCCTGTACACTTTGTAAAGGGCTGGGTTAACAAGGCATTGTTCTTAAACCATTGCTCTTCAGGATTTAATTCTCTCTGAGTTCCTTCTCTTTTGGAAATGTTTGGTTATAGAAGTGTGGACAGCAAACCAGGATGAAAGCGTTTTGCCTTTACCTTTTCCCTTCTGATGCTTGCTCTCTTTTCATACCTTAGGCAGTGACAATGGGTGTTCAGAATTTGAACTGGAGCTATTTTCGTGTTACCTATCACAGACATCATATGAAATACTTGCTTGCTTCATTTCTTAAATCATAGACACGGAGTCTGAGTTTTCCAAGCATTTGCAAACGTTGCCCCCTGAAATCATAGATCCTGGTGTGGTGTGAGGTCCTCTACCTTGATGCTCAAATGCTTGGTCTGTTTTTTCTTGTGATACTTTGCCACTTCAGAGCTTTTTCCGATGTTCCCAGTTTCTGATTTTGATCCATTTTATTTTGCTGCTGCTTATGCAGACCAAAGTGGGGTGTGTTCTTCTGGTAGCTGGGGCAGGAAGAGCTTACCTTGCTACTCTTCTGACAGTCAGCTCTATCACCACTCAGTAATCTTGAGTCCTTCAGACTAACTGCATGTGTATTTCTGTGTAGCTTGGTTTTTGTCAAAAAGCTCTCACTTTATGGACATCTACTGCTCAAAATTTAAACTCATGGTTCAAAGTAAGTTTAGCTGGTTTGCTTTGATTTAGTTGGGTTACAAAATGGCTAAGCATGTGGTCTGCTGGACTATAGTCCAAAGAGACTCCATGCTGTTATTTTTAAGCTTCTGCCTTGTAGCCAGATGCTCCATATTATTATTATTGCGGACATAGTGGAGGTGACTTTAAATTTTGGAAAACAGGGAGACACGAGGAGAGTCAGGGAAAGAAGATCAGTTACAAAGCTGTACATCTGGAAAATAGGCAAAAATGGCCACCAAGTTTGGGATTTAATTTGTCACCAAGATCATGAGTGCATATAAATCAAAAGACTCTACTATAAAACTGTGTTTAACTCTGTTGTAAAATGTCCTGTGGTGCTACAAGATGAGCAGGCTGGAAGGCAGAGTCAGTTGCAGGGGCAGCTTGTCTCCTGTATGACTTTACTGCTAGTACAGTAGGTTTTCCTCTCAGGAGCTTTACAACCTTGGGTTCCCTGGCAGGCTTAAGCACCATAAAGGAAGTATTTTAACCCAATTTCCTCTCAGAATCCACAGACTTGTTCTAAGTTTCAGTTATTAAGAACAGCAATAGGAATGCATGTTTCGTAAAGGATTGATGTTTTGAGGCATACGTTGTCCTTCCTTTTCCTACCTTATGCAGCCTGTTAGGCACTATTAAACTTAGCTAGAGCTGATGGACCCAGCTTTCTCCATGATGCCAAAGCAGAATATTTATATTTAAATTCCTATTCTGGTTCTACCGTGAGAGAGCAAGCATCTCTGAGAGAAGAAACCACAGTATCTATAATGAAAAAAGTAGTGTTGGTAAAGGAAAAGCCTAAAAAGAAGATGTTATTTTATATTGCATGAAGTATTTTAGGGTATAGGTTTTTTAAATTAAGTAGCTATGAAATACTTAACTTAAAATCTGCTTAGCAATATAACTGAACAGTCATAATTGAAGCCTCACCAGATGCTCTAATGATTCCTTCCTTAATGTGAGAAGTAATTCCATTTCCATGCAGGCTTTTTCCTAATCCTATTCTGAGCATCGACTGCCAATTGTTTTAAATTCTGAAGACTATTTTCTCTGAAAGAATTAGCTGGGAATATTCAATGTAGTGTACTTAAGAGCTCAGCAAAATACAACTTCATAATGTTGGGTAATTTGTGTCACAGAAAGCATGAAAATTGATAGATTTGTATAAATCTATCACAAGCAGCTGCTGGAAGTAAAAATAGATGTAATAGATGTCTTATAGTAAGATCCAACGCACTGTTCACTTAGTGCTGGATGTCTTGTATGGTAGATTACTCTGACTTCACGATCCTTCCCTTCTCTATCCACTGCTAACAGTGGTTTGTTTCTAATTACACAGAGCTATTTTATCAGCATAGTGCCAAGGGTGATATTGCACTGCACTTTGTCTCTGTCATATTTGTGGAGTGCTGACATTTGTAGTATCTTTAAATTATATTGGTAGACTTATTATAAACAAATAAAATGTGTGTTGATGTCATTATTGTCACAAATGACTACTAGAAGTAGTTGTATAGTCTCTAAGCAGTAAAGCACAACCAGGTGGAGTGTTACTTACCTGCAGTAAGTGTAGGTTTTTCCTTTGCTTGGTTTTTGTTCTACAAATCCAATTACCAAAAAGTAAAGCCATAACTGCAATATTAGGGCAGGTATTCGATTTGTCACTTAAAACTTCAGTTAGTCGGCATTAATTCCTTTAACCTATTTGGAAACAGCTCTCAGGATCTTTGGCTTTTTCTGCAGCTAACCTGCCTGCTCCAGTATGTGACACACTTGGAAATGGAGAGTCTGTCCCTGAACAGCTGTATTCTGACATCTCATCACCATGTCATTCTAATAAAATCGGTGACAAGAAAATGATGGATTACTTCAGGCAACTACTTTTCCTATAGCTTCGTGTGTTGGAATGTTTGCTGTTTTCTGAGCAGGCATATACCACTAGAGGTTGCCGTACACCTCGCTAATTAGACATGCACATTTAACATTAAATGACTTTATGAGGCTAGAAACACTATCCAGTTTTCCTTTTTTAATACACTGTCACCACAGCTGTTCACACGCAGGGCTGTGTGAGTCGCTAAGAACACTTCATCGGTTGTGCTTCTCCCTGTTAGATGACATAAGGAACTTAAAAGATGGCACGTAATTACATCAGTGTCATATTTTGTAGATGTCTTTGGCTGTCGTAGAGAGTTCAGTGGGATTCAGGGAACAACAAAGAATCAGAGAATCATAGAATAGTTTGGGTTGGAAAGGACCTTAAGATCATCTAGTTCCAACCCCCCTGCCATGAGCAGGGACACCACACAATACACTATGTTGCCCAACGCTCTGTCCAGTCTGGCCTTGAACACCTCCAGGGTTGGGGCATTCGCAGCTTCCTTGGGCAACCTATTCCAGGGCCTCACCACCCTCACTGTGAAGAGCTTCTTCCTTAGATCTAACCTAAACTCCCCCTGTTTAAGTTTAAAGCCATTCCCCCTTGTCCTACCACTAGAGTCCCTAACGAAGAGCCCCTCCCCAAAGGTTGGTCAGCTGTGGCTGCCCCATCCCTGGCAGTGTTCAAGGCCAGGTTGGACACAGGGGCTTGGAGCAACCTGCTCTAGTGGAAGGTGTCCCTGCCCGTGGCAGGGGTTGGAACTGAATGAGCTTTAAGGTCCCTTCCAACACAAACCAGTCTATGGTTCCATGATTCTATGACTCTGTGATCCTCCTGATGCTCATAGGAGTCAGGTGGAATCAGGAAAAAAGGTGTACTTAGAAGGGATACAGATCAGAGACTTGTGCATGCTGTGGGATGCAGTGTATGTGGTGCTTGTGTGTTGTTGTAGTCTTGCTATACCTGTTACGAGAACAAAGCATGAGACCTACAGCCGGCTGTGCCTATTCTGTGTCTGACTGGAAAAAGCAGAGATAGCAACCCTAATTCTCACTGGTTGGCCAGCCTGGAAGCTGTAAGATACCCTGGAGCATAATGCTGAGCACTGGAGTTGCTCAATGTTGGGTTTGTCTTCTTTTTGTTTTAAATACAGCTGTGAGTACTGTGCTTAATTGTCCATTCTTGTAAAGGTAGACTGCATCACTGTGGATTCCCAGGTCTGTCTTCTCTCAGCTGGGAAGAGGAGGAAGCCCTTCTTTCCCTTTGTGCTCTTCAGCAAAGTGTTCATAATTTTCTAGAGTCAATTATGCTTCTTAAGCTACTAAGAAAAATTCCCATCAATTCTGACAGGTGCTGCAATATTTGAGAAGTTTCATCTCGCCAACAAAACCATTTTGTTTTTGCAGTTTCCTAGTTTAGTAATTTAATTTTTCTGGTATGGTTTCCTCTTATACAAGTCTGTGAGGATTTTCTTGAGTGAAGATATTTATGACGGTTCTTTAAGAACAAGAATACGTGATGTTGATTTAAACTGCACTTTTTAAACTCGGTTTAAGATTATACTGGATTGAAACCTGTGTTTAAGTTGTAATGTATGAGTTCCTGTAGAAATGTTGTATTGCTGCTGCAATGTATTTATTAAGTACATACCAGCTG